GGAGGACCGGATAAGGACCAGATGCAGGGGAAAGCCTTGTGAAGCGTTTGGGGTTTATCCCGAGCTGACCAGCTTCATTTGCCTTTTTAAACATCACATTGTAAGCCGGTTGTTCTGCTCTTTTTTCTTTTTAAGATTTACTTATTCAACGTGTGTGAGTGTTTTGTTTACACGTATATATGTGCACCGACAGGTGTGTGCCTGGTGTCTGTAGAGGTGAGAAGAAGGTGTCAGATCCCCTGGAACTGGAGTTACAGACAGTTGTGAGCCGCCATGTGGGTGCTGGGAATTGAACCCAGGACCTCTGGAGGAGCAGCCCGTGCTCTTCACCTCTGAGCCACCTCACCAGCCCCTGTTGTTCCACTCTTAGGCATCAATCCAAGAGAAATGAAACCACACGTCCACATGAAGACTTCCAAACGTCATAGTAAACTTATTCCTAGCAGACCAAACTAGAAAAACAACCTCAGTGTTCATCAACAGTATAACGCAGAAATTGGTTCTGGTACATCCATACAACGGAGTACTACTGAGCAATTAAAATTGAGTGAATTACTGATACCTATTGCAGATGAAGATGCCTATGTAGATGAAGCTCACAAACATGCTATGCCAAAGAAGGCAGACCTCCCCTGTGCCCCCTAAAAAAGAGTACCCTCTCCCTGAAAAAAGAAAAGAAAATGCCAAGTGGACATGGTGGTAAATTGAAGAGATGGAGAGACAGGAGAATCAAGAGTTCAAGGTCGCCAAGCCGCGGTGGCGCACGCCTTTAATCCCAGCACTAGGGAGATCCAGGCAGAACCTGGCGGATCTCTGTGAGTTCGAGGCCAGCCTGAGCTACAGAGTGAGTTCCAGGAAAGGTTCCAAAGCTACACAAAAAAAATCTTGTTTCAAAAAAAAAGACAAAACGAAAATCAAAACTAAAATGTTCAAACTAGTCTGTAATGACAGAAAACAAGCCAATGATTATATGGGGCCAAGAATGGAAGAAGTTGACTGCAAAAGGGCAGTAGGGGGAAACGGAATGTTCTAGGTTTCAACTGAGATGTTGATTACTCAGGACTATCCATCTCACTAAGCCTAGTCCACTTAGAATTACTGATTCTTTGTTTTGAGACAGGGTCTCACTTTACAGCTGATGCTGTCCTCCAATTCCTTCTGCATCATTATTACTGCACGTACTGTATTCGTGCATTATTATTGCACAAATTACTGCATTTCATCAAGTGCAAAGTATACCTCAATAAAGCAGCTTTTAAAAAGGTAACATTGGAGCCGGGTGATGGTGGCACACACACACAAACTACAGAGCTAGTCCAGGACAGGCTCCAAAGCTACAGAGAAACCCTGTCTCAAAAAACAAAAAAACAAACAAACAAAAAAAAGATATTAATTTAAGTTATAAGACCTAGTTAGAAACAAGCCTAAGCTATCAGCCAAGCTTTTATAATTAATAATATTATAATAATAATTAATAATAATAATTTGGGAGCTGGCTATGGAGACAGAGAAAGACTAGTTACAACTATGTGGCCCTGGCTAACCCTAACCCTAACCTCTCTGTATAGACTGGACTGGCCTTGAACTCAAGAGATCTGCCTGCCTCTGCCTCCCATGTGCTTGGATTAAAGGCCTTCGACACAGCACATGGCTTAAAGATGTATTTATTTATTTATTTTTATTTTTGTTTTCATGACAGGGTTTCTCTGTGTAGCCTTGGCTGTCCTGGAACTTACTCTGTAGACCAGGTTGGCCTCAAACCCAAAGACCTGCCTACCTCTGCCTCCTGAGTGCCACCATGCTCAGTTATTTTTAGTATTTTGAATTATGTGTATGTATGTGTGTCTGTGTGTGGGTACGAGCAATGTTTTCTTGCGCCTCGAGAGACCAGACGCATCAGATCTCCCTGGAGCTGGAATTACAAGCAGTTATGTTCAATGTGGGTGTTGGAAACTGAACTTGGGTCCTCTGCAAGACTACCTTTAACCTTATGGAATCTAGCCCCCAGTGTTATGTTTTATTTCTGAGACAGGGTTTCTCTGTGTAGCCCTGGCTATCTTGGAACTGGATTTGTAGACCAGGCTAGCCTCGAACTCATGAGATTTGCCTGCCTCTGCCTCCCGAGTGCTGGGATTACAGGCGTGCGCTACCACCGCCCGGCCAAATTAATATCTTTTAATCTACATTCTTTCATGTGGCTTGGTTACCTTTACTTTGTAATGCCTATCCCATGCTGCTTGCTCTGTGTCCCAAGGTGTGTCTCCACCTTTTTCTTCCCGGCATCCTCTGTGCCTGGAAATCCTTCTCTGCTTTTTATTAAACTGATCACAGTGACATATCTTTACACAGTGTAACCAAATACCTCACAACACATAGTGAAATTCTGTTTAAAAAAAAAAAATCTTTAAAAAAAAAAAAAGACCTTCATGTGCTTCATGTGGAAGCCTCCAGTTTAATTTGGAGGTTAATTAACTAGTTGCCCAGGCAAGATAATGGTAGACTGTTTAGAGGGAAAAACAGAAAAGGTAGAAGTCGGAATGGAGGGCAATGGTGGCTCCTCTGTGCAGGTGGGAGGTGCGGAGTGGAAGGGCTTAGGGGTGACTTCTGGGTGTATGCCTGAAACATGTGAGGCCCCTTCCACGATACGGAGGCAACTGAAGATGGAGTGTTGGAGGTAAGTCACCTCCCCTCACCCGAGGAAGGGCCACATAATCTCTTTGAGGATCAGGCTGGGGGACTGAATTTAGGGTCTTGGGCACACTAGGCAGGCATGCGTTTACCTAGCTGCTAGGTTACACCGCTAGGCTATACCCAAGCCCCTTACAGGTAAACTTCTGACACAGCACTTCCGCTGGTCGTAACTGATGATCTTCGGGAAGTAATGAGGGATGTGCTCCAACATTTAGCTACCGGGAAGGTCCCTCGGCCTTGCTAATTATAGTGAAAGCATGGAGATAATTGCACTTAACTAAAGCATTGGTTAAATAAACGCCGGCTCAGGTGTATGACTCGGCACTGCTATGGAGCTCAGGAAAATGAGGCTTTGGGATGAGTGGCAAGAGAGGAGAGTGTGGAGTGCAGAAAAAAAAGCAGATTTCAAAGCACCGCAAATCACAATTTAAGCAGTGTGTGTGTGAGTAAGGGAATCATCTAGAGCAGTGGTTCTCAACTTCCCTAAGCTACGACCCTTTAACACAGTTCCTCATGCTGTGGTGACCCCCAACCATAACATTATTTTTGTTGCTACTTCATAACTGTAATTTTACTACTGCTATGAATCGTAATGTAGATATCCGTGTTTTCCAATGGTCTTAGGTGACCCCTCTGAAAGGATTGTTCCACCCCAGAGGGGCCACAACCCACAGATTGAGAACCACTGATCTAAATGCATATACAACTGGAATTGGCGGGGGGGGGGGGGGGGGGGGTGTAGCTCAGTCATTATAGTGCCTAGCATTTATGGAACTCTGGGTTCAGTCCCCAGCACCGCACAAAAACAGGCATGGTGGAGCACACCTGAAATCCTAGCACTCCTGAGGATCAGAAGCCCAAGGCCATCCTTGGCTATATATCTAGTTTAAGGCCAACCTGGGATACATGACACCCAAAACAAAATAAAACAATTACAAACTAAGACAATAACAAAAAAAGCCTACTCATCACTTTGTTGGATTACAGATATTTTTAATTTAATCTCTTAGTTTATCTGTATGTTTTTTTTTTTTTAAGATTTATTTTATACCAGGCAGTGGTGGCTCAGGCCCTTAATCCCAGCACTCGGGAGGCAGAGGCAGGCGGAGCTCCGATTTCAAGGCCAGCCTGGTCTACAGAGTGAGTTCTAGGACAGCCAGGGCTGCACAGAGAACCTTGTCTCAAAAACAACAACGAACAGATAGAAAGAAAAAAGATTTATTTTTATTTATGTATGCATGTTTTGCCTGCACGTATGGCTGTGTGCCACATGCATGTGGTGCCCACAGAGGCCAGAAGAAGGTGCCAGATTCCCTGGAACTGTGGTCCCAGACAGGTATCAACAGGCCTGTGGGTGCTGGGACTCAAACCCAGGGCCTCTGGAAGAGCAGCCAGTGCTTTTAACCATTGAACCCTGTGTCTCCAGGCCCCTTATCTGTGTTGTTGAAATGTTTTACCTACAATGAATAATGATTGTGCATCTGTATTGTAAGTAAGCTCTGGGAGTTTACTCTTCCAAATTGTTTTTTCCCTTAACTCTCTCTTTCTTCCTAGAATCATTTAGCATATCAATGATAAATGGATGTTTAACAAATGTCATCCGTACATCCATTTTCTCAGAGACAAGGTCTCACTGTGTAGCCCTGGCTACCTCAGAACTCACTCTGTAGACAGATTAGGCAACACATGTTTGTACTGACCCCTCTGCCCCAATCTCCTGTGTTGGGATTACAGGCAAACACCACTCTGCCCAGATTTTTTTTTTTTTTTTTTTTTTTTTTTTTTTTTTTTTTTGGTTTTTCGAGACAGGGTTTCTCTGTGTAGCTTTGCGCCTTTCCTGGAACCCACTTGGTAGTCCAGGCTGGCCTTGAACTCACAGAGATCCGCCTGGCTCTGCCTCCCGAGTGCTGGGATTAAAGGCGTGCGCCACCACCGCCCGGCTCTGCCCAGATTTTTAATTTCAGTTCTTTAAAGACAGTGTTAAGCAGCTGGGCAGTGGTGGTGCATGCCTTTAATCCCAGTACTTGGGAGACAGAGGCAGGTGGATCTCTGGGAGTTCGAGGCCAGCCTGGTCTACAGAGTGAGTTCCAGGACAGCCAGAACTACACAGAGAAACTGAAATTCTGTCTCAGAAAACAACAACAATAACAACAAAGAGTATTCCGATCCAGTGGAAAGTCATGAATATATGGGCAGCAAAATTGGACTTGCCTCTGCCTCTTGAGTGCTGGGGTTAAAGTCTCGTATACTACCACTGCTGCCGCCACCACCACCACCACCACCACCGCCACCACCACCACCACCCGCCACACCTCCTGCCCCCACTGTGGCTTCCATTCTGTTTCTAGTAGATAGTGTCAAGTCCCCAGTGCTCCCTGGTGATCTGAGATGTGGCTCAGTGGTATTGTGTGTCACCAGCTCTAGTGTAGGGGATTCTCACCGTGGGCAGTTCACAGCCTGGACTTCTGCTAAGGAGTACTCTTAGCATTCGGTTCCCAGGCTCTCTGTTGGGTTGCCCTGTGTTTGTGGGTTCTGAGTTTCTATTTGCCCAATCCTATTTATCCCCCCTTGTCTTTCACAGGCATCACCCCTAATTTGATCTCTACGTCTTCTTGGAGAACCTAGCCTGGCACAGAAGACCTGGCGCCTTGGGCCCAGAGAAACACGGGAAGGTGAAGTTGTGTGTGCAGGAGTCTTTATATACAATTGGTGGACTACCATCACCCTAACTACCTCATGGTAACTTAGATGATAGCTCCAGTATGTGTGTATCCAGACACTTAGCAAATGAGTTATGTATTTATTTATTTTTATCACTTGTCTTAGTTATTTTTCAACTGCTGTGGCAAAACCCCATGAACAAGGTAATTTATAGACCAGTTTATTGGAAGGTTACAGTTTCAGAGGGTGTGTCCGTGATCATCAAGATGGGCAGCAGGCAGGTAGGCATCGTGTTGGAGCCATAACTGAGAGCTTAGGTTTTGATCTCTGATCCACAAATAGGAAGCAGACAGAGAGTGGGAATGGCGGCGTGGGCTTTTTGAAACCTTAAACTTGTTCCCCAATAACACACCTCCTCCAACAAAGCCACACCTCCCAATCCTTCCCAAATAGTTCCACCAGCTGGGGGCCAAGTATTCAAATATCTGAGACTATGGGGGCCATTCTCTTTCAAACCACCACATCACTCAATCTTTCTTTCTTCCTTTTATTTTTATTTATTTATTTTTTTAGAGGTGGGGATATTGTAGATTAAACCTAGGACTTCAGGCCTTCTAGCCAGTGCCTTGTCACTGAGACTTAAAAAATTTTTTTTCTTTTGATTTTGTAATTTTGAGACAGGATCTCTGTATTGTGTAGCTCTGGCTGTCCTGGAACTCACTACATAGACCAGGCTGACCTCGAACTCACAGGGATCCACCTGCCTCTACCTCCCCAGTGCTGAGATTAAAGGTGTGTGCCCATGCCTGGTGAAGAGTTCAGATTTTTATTTATTAGTTATTTTAGATGGATTCTTGTATAGCCCAAGGCTAGCCTCATATTCAGTATGTAACCAAGGATGGCTGTCTTAGTTAGAGTTACTATGGCTGTGAAGAAACACCATGATCACGGCAACTCTTTCTTTTTTTCTGAGGCAGGGTGTCTCTTTGTACCCTGGCTGTCCTGGAACTGGCTTAGTAGACCAGGATGGCCTTAAATTCAGAGATCCACCTGCCTCTGCCTCCCAGAGTGCTGGGACTAAAGGTATGCACTACCATTGGCCAGCTCTAGGGCAATCCTTACAAAGGAAACATTTAACTGGGGCTGGCTCATAGTTCAGAGCTCTAGTCTATTATCCTCATGGAGGGAAGCATGGCAGCATGCAGGCACACATGGTTCTGGAGAGGTAGCTGAGAATTCTACATCTGGATCCGATCCGCAGGCAGCAGGAAGTGACAGTGACACCCTGGGCTGGCTTGAGCTTCTGAAACCTCAAGACCCACCCCCCAGTGACACACTTCCTTCAACAAGCCACACCTCCTAATAGTGCCACTCCCTATGGGCCTATGGGGGCTATTTCCATTCAAATCATCACAATGCCCTTGAATTCCTTACCCTCCTGTGCCTACCTCCCAAGGGCTGGGATTAAAGTCTGGCTTGCTTTATTTCTTGTGTCTGGCTTTCTTTCTTTCTTTCTTTATTTGTGTTCTGAGACCGGTTCTTATGCAGCCCAGGCTGGCCTTGAACTAAACTGCCGGTGGTGCTAAGGATGGCCTTGAACTCCTGGTCAACCTGCCTCTACCTACTAAATTTGGGATGATAGCCTTGTGTCACCACACTTAGAGCGTGTGTGTGTGTGTGTGTGTGTGTGTGTGTGTGTGTGTGTGTGTGTGTGTTTTAAAAAGTTGTTTAAAAATGGAGACAGGTCTCCATAAATTTGCCTAGGTTGTTCTTGAACTCTCTCTGTAGTCCAGGCTGACCTTGAACTTGTGATCCTGCCTCAGTCTTCTGTCTAGCTGAGATTACAGGGTTGAACTACCATGCCAGACTCAAGTCTAGCTTTTATCTCACAGTTTCTAAGTGTAGGAGACCAGAGCCCCCTGGGCAACTGCGCCAGGCTCTGGGGATGGCTTTTTGGTAGTTATCGCTTTACTGTAATGTGGGGTATCTCTGCCCTATGCAGAATTCTGGCAGTCTCTAGGAAGGTTTAGGGGGGAAATAAGGTAAAAATTAAGGGTTTCATAACCTCCAAGGTACTGGATCTGGAGCCAGAATTTGTCGCGGACACCTCTAATCCCAGCAGTCAGGAGACCGGGGCACAAAGGTCACAAGTTCCAGGACGGCTGGAGCTACAAAGAGACCCTGTTTCAGAAGAAACGGCATCTGGGTCACTGCCCTGCTGTGACCCTCACTGCCGCCATCAGTACCGAGGGCAACCCAAGGAACGTCCCAGGGCTCCAGGCCTGGCCGATTTGATTTTTCATCCTCCTGGGAGGTGACCTCCTGGGACTCGAATAAATGCACAGGTGGACAAATCCGGTTCTCACCGAGTGACCCTGACACGTCTGGAGGTCGGTCTGGAGGTCGGTGGGTCGGACAGATTGACTTTGAGAGAGACAGACTCAACTCAGAGGGGGAATTCACGGCGTGGAGACGCCTAAAGCCCACTCAGCCGCCAGGGGGCGCCACCGCCACGCCCATCGGCCACTCCCCTCCCACCCCCGGCGGGACTGGGCGTGCTCGGGGTCGGCGGCGGGGGCGTGGCCAGCGTGCGCGCGGGGGCGTGGCCAGCCTGCCGCGGGCGCGCGCCTGGTGGCGGCGGCGGCGGCGGCGGCGGCGGCAGTGGCGGCGGCGGCTGTGGCGGCGGCGGCAGCGGGTTCCGTTCCGGGCCGAGGCTGGAGACGGAAAAGTTGCGGGGCGGCGAGGAGCGGCCCCGGGACGGTCAGCGAGGGCGACAGCGAGCCGGGGGCCGGCGTCTGCGGACCGGCCATGGACGATCTCGGTGAGTGCGGGAGGCGGAGGGCGGAGCGGCCGGGGCCCGGCGGCCGCGAGCCGGCGCTGGGGTTTCCGATCCCACCCTGGCGCCCGGCGGGGCTGCGGTGCCTGCGGCCCGGGGCTGTGCGAGCCACTCCTCGGTGCGTCGCCTGAGGACTCCCCCCGACCCCACACTGGGTTTAAGGACCCGCCCGGTCCGCCACGGGCGGGGGGGACGGCGCCTCGCTCCCCGGGGCAGACCTCCTTCCTCCCCGGCTGCGGGACCCCTCACTTCGCTTCCCCACCCCCACCTCCGAGCGGCTGCCTGCGGGACTCGATCTCGGAGGCTGTTCCCCCCCCTCTCTCTCTCTCTCTGTGACCCGCTGCTGTTCCCTCCAGGCCACCTCCCTCCCACTTTGCAGACAGGCAACCCCCTCTCCTCTCCCTCGTGCCAGGGCTGTAGCCCCTTTTCCAGTGCCCACCCCGTGTCACATCACAAGCTACAGAAAAGCTTGTGAGGAAGGACCACACCCCCCTCCCCCATTCGAATGACAAGTGTCCCAGGCTACTGCATAGACCCCACCCCCACCCCCACCACCCACCGCAAGTCTAGTCACCCCGTTTTAAGGACTGTATTAGTGGCCAGTGTGTGGACCAGCCTTTCATTCCCAGACCAGCCCTTCCCCTTCAAGTCTAAACTTAGAAAGGCAAGTTGGAGGGGTGGGTGGGTTATGACTCCCGCCTCTCACCCACCATTCCCAGACCCTGATGAAATGCCAGAGGAATGGGCCGCAGGGTATGGCTATCTCTGAACGTGTCCTAGCTGGCAAGGTCCCCCACCCCCAGTATCGGGCCTGCTGGAAGCCTCTCGGGTAAGGAGGACAGGATGCCCAGAACAGAGTTTCACTGTCCTCATGTTATTGGAGCCTGGAGGCAGTTCTTTTCAGTCCACGCTTGTCTGGTGTTAGGACAGAGGAAAGAAAGATTCTCCTGGAAGTTGATTCTAAACCCGTGGGGATTGATGCAAGAGATCTAGGGATGCCCTGAGCCTTGTGCATCCCAGAGTGAAGGAACCCCTGTCTTTCCTTCTCCTAGGGCCCCTCAGTTGAGGAGGTATGTGTGGAGTGAGTTCCCTTCTCTGTAGGAGCCTTGTCTTCTTTCTCTGGACTGTGGGTGGTTTGTGTGACCACTGGTGCCATTGGGCGTCCCTGGCTCTGGGGAGCAGATTCACTAGATAAGACTGAGGGGCCTCTCCGAAGCAGCCCTTAACAGGGCTCCAAGTTAAGATGGATTATTTGTAGGCACTGGACTTCACTGCCTCCCTGCAGTTGCCTTGTGGGATCAGGGAGCCCCTGAAACATCCCAGAGCTGGGGATGGTGTTGGGTCCTGTTTGTTTCGCAGAGTGGGATCATTGCCAAGCATAGTTATGCCTTTGGGTCAGGCTTGGCATCCACATTCCCATTGCACTCAAGGCTGGCATAGCTTCCAGGCAGGTATTTTTAATTTTTGTTTTTTCCACATAAAAATGCCAAAGCTGAAAGGAGGCTGGCCGGGGCGATGCGCTTTTGATCAGGTACCTGAAAGTCTCAGTGCGTCTTTCCCTGTGGGAACTGGGGAGCCGGAGCCGAGTCACAGCATCTCACACGCTGGTGAGGGCTCTGTTGGTTCTGGACAGTCCCTCTGCTGTTCGCAGGACTGAGAAAGTCTTTGTAGAGTTTGCAGAGTCCGGAATTCCCATCTTCTGACGGCCTTCCATTTAGGGCCAGAACACTGGATTGTCTTTGAAAGGAAAGAGAGTGTCTGGCAGACGGGAATTGTCGGAATCGAAATGTGCCGTTTATGGAGTGCTCACCCATGCCTGGATTCGCCCCATCCTCACAACCGTCACCCTGTAAGAGCACCCCCGAGGCCGCTGCCGGCACCACTACCTCCTTTTACCAAATAGAGAAAGCAGAGAGAGACCAAGAGAGGCCAACTCTCTGACCCGAGGCTGCAGAGCCAAGAAACACCTCCGAGCCCGGTCCCTGTTCCACTCTTGTGTGCATTTCTTCCCAGGAAGGGGGCAAGCAGGCACTGGCAGGAGGGGTGTTAGCAGGGACGGCCTGCCACCTGTGACTTCTGCTGCCTTTTGTAGACTCTCCGGTGGCTCGATCCATGCTACCCGACTTCCTTAGTCTGAGCTCTCAGGGGGCCAGACACGCCTGGCTGACCAGAGCTTAAGGTGGGGGGAATGGGTGTGCAGGAGGGCAGAGGAATTTGCTTCTGAGCCCAGGCGGTCAGCTGTCTGGATGGCTGCTCAGCACACTGCCCGTCAGCTGTTTTCCTAAGTTAGGGTGGATATGACGGCCAGCCCTCTTTCTTGTTTTTATTTGTCTCCCAAGAGAGATCTCAGCTGTGACCGTCCCGGTCCCTTAACATGGGGGATCGTTCAGGGTGGTCTCCCTGTGGCAAGGCCATGGGGTGCATAGCTTCCATGATAACTTTGTTTTCTGGCTCAAGGATAAAAAAAACAAATAAATAAATAAATTGGAGCACACCTCCTCCCCTCCGCGTAGTGGCCAGTGAGAGAATCGCCATGTGCGGTTTAATAAGTTACAAATTTATAGCTCTTTGGGCAGAAAAAACATAAACACAGTGTGTCCTGCCCTTCTCTGTGTGTTCTCTCCGCCCTGTGCTGTGGGGTGGCTGCTTGGTGGCTTTTCTCATTAGAGCTTAGATGCTGGTTTGATCGGGAGCTCCCTCTGTTCAAGTTCTGGCCGGAGTTTCCTGGACAGAGTTCTCACAGCCCAGATGCCCTCCGATTATGCTTTCTGCCCTGGCTCTCCTCTCTCCCCATGTTCACATTCTTAATGTGTTTGGGGAGGCCGTGACCACAGTGCGGCCTGACAGTGATCCCTCGTGCTCCACAGGAGACGGGCACTGCGCTCAGCGCTTTTTCTTTCTTTTTTTTACTACAACTGTTGAGAGCGAGAGGTGTTTTTTTTTTTTTTTTTTTTTTTTTTTTAAAATCTCAGCTTCACAGATGGAGAAACCTGAGCTGGGGGAAGTTCTATGGCAGAGCTGGAGTTTGAACCTAGACTGATCCAGTTCTGGACCTGGTTGTCTTAATTATAAAGTCGTAGGAGTTGGTACTAATCACGGGGTGCACCCAAAGGCCTGCTGCCGAGGAACTGATAATTACCTTTAAAATGTCTGCTTTGCTGCGGGGGGGCCCGGGAGGTCCCCAGGAAATGGCTTGATAGCTTTGCCTTCTCATCCTTCTCATCCACTAATGTGGGACACAGCCAGCTGTTGGCAGTGTCCGTCTGCTGGAATCTGGTCATGTCTCCTTTCAACTTCTCAGCAGTCTTGACCCTTTGGAAAACAGTGCCTCATTGTGTTTGGGGGTGATGCTGGGGGGGCGGTAAGGGAGTTGCCTGGGGCATTCGGGGCTACAGAGCCTCCCAGTTTCCATGGAAAGCCTGGCCTTGGGGCTAGCCTGTATGTGGTACCTCTATGTGGTCACCCAGTCTCTGGGCTGTGGCAGAGGCAGCATCTAACCATGGAGCAGTGGTACCCTCCTGGTGGGTGATTTGCAAGGTGCATGCAAGTAAGGGGCTCAGCTTGGAGTCAAACCCTGGGTTGTGTTTGATTCTTAGGCAGGTGCCTTTCTGATAAGTACAGCGCGGGTAGAATGGAAGTCCACGGGCT